GATAGGTTGGTCAATAGCTTTCTGGTCAGTTTTCCTCTGCTCGGTGACCTAGAATAACGACTGTTCTTCAATAGCAAGAGAAAGAGCATCAAACATCTCTGCGACGACAACTGAGAAACCCGCAGTTAGGAAAATACGGTTCAAAACAGACCTGATATTCAACCTTTCCAGCAGCGAAAATATTCTCTCCCTTCTTGCCAGACAACTTCTTTCGCCTGAAGTAATCGTCGTTGATGTGGTCCGGAATCTTCACACCAGATACATCGAGCCTCGTCTTGGTGGCGATGACAAAGGCTTGAGCGATTCTTCGCAGAGGGAAGTTATTCACTTTGTGAGGACCTGAAAGCCATAAATTCACAAAGATAAGACTTCCAAATCAATCAGCGTCCGAAACCCTTTCAAAGAGGCGGAATCTCTTCTCGATCCCTCGAAGATTACTACACTGCCCTTCTGAACTCTTTCCAGAGTCAACCACTTTCGCCCTGTTTCTTCCCACAAGAACTTGCAGCGCGCAGCTGCGGCATAAGCAAGAACGCGCAAAATCGTAAATACAATCACACATAACCACTCGAAGAAATGACGACACTGCGTATCGGTTAGGAGAGCCCCGGAAAGGAGAGTAATGTAGAAGGCAGAGAAGCGCTGAAACGACGGTTAGCGACCTGACAGGGACTGATCTTTAAGGCCCGGCTTTGGAAGAATGCCGATTCTGCAGAATTTATTGATATATCGATATCCATACACGTTTTTTGGGCAGATTCCGCGTTTCTCCCAAATCCGCGGTCCTTCAAGTGGATATCTACACTTTTTTATATCCGCAGTTTCGTCATTTCTTCGAAGTCGTCATGTAAGATGCGGCATAGGAGTCATTACAAGCAACACATTCTGAACTTTCGACTCAGTTCTATTCAATGTGGCGCCCTCAAAATCGAAAGCTAGCAAAACAAACAGAAACGTTGAGAGCAGGTATCAGACAACGAGTCTCCCAGGCTAAGTCAAATGATCCACTGCAACTTGGCCAAATGGGCAATTTATTGTCTAGAGACACTTGAAGACAGCCCCCGCGATCAAAGTGGCTCGTGGTCGCCTTTGCTGTGCAAGTAGTCTAGCCTCCAAGCTAGAAGACTGTTCACCTTCCCCTGTCGACGTCCCTGTCGACGCCGCCAGATTCGTGCTCCGCCAATTGCTGATTCCGATGAGGGAGACCAACTGCTGGAAAACGTCTGATACGAACGATATGGTAGTCCTGTCGTTTGTCGAAAAAAAAACAGGTTGGCTCAGCGCCAAGCGCGATCGCCCCATCATCCGCAGCGAACCAGAGTATGAGTTGTACTGTTTAGTCACTTACGAGATGATGTCGACTTATTAATATTTCCAGTTATTTCGGATTAGTTTGATGAATGAAAGTTTTGTACTATTTTTTACATATCCGAGTTCTCTACAAAGCAAGCTTCGCTGTACAGGACTCAGCACACTGACGCTCGTTACTGGCTACCGCACTCATTACGACCCCCCCCTCTCCTGGCGGCCAAATACGACCCCCCTGTTGGGGATTCCCCAACCAACGATGTGCCCTGACTCGTAGACCGCTTCATATTGGGTTGGACTGTGATGGTTGAGTAATGGCGTTTTTTATTCTCACACAAATTTTCGTATGGAAGGTGACAGTTGTTTCCAATATGTTCTACACTATTAGATAGATATATTTCTGCTCTGTAAGACAGGATGGTTGCCTTCCTACTGTTTCTTGATTTCTGTCGATTTTTATTCCATTAAAGTCGAGTCGGGTCAACCCAAAGTGAGTTTTCCACAACAACATTCTGCACTTTATCTCAGCTCTTCAAATTACAAAAGCTCAGAACTTGTGATATATATGATCAAGGAAGATGATTCTCGAGACAGCTTCAAGTTGTTGTGGAAAC